ATCCCTAGAGAGACTGAGTAAAATCCCGAATCCCTGCAGTGTATTTTCGGTAACCAAACCCCAAAAGCCTATCGAGATATAATCCCTAGAGAGACCAAGTAAAATCCCGAAACCCCGTAGTGCATTTTCGCTATAGAAACCTTGAAAGCATTTCGAGATTTAAACCCTTGAGAGACTAAGTAAGATCCTGAAAGCCCGTAGTGTATTTTCGGTAACGAAACCCCGAAATCCTATTGAGATTTAATTCCTAGAGAGACTGAGTAAAATCTACAAACCCCGAACTGTATTTTCGGTAACGAAACCCCGAAAGTCCATCGAGATATAATCCCTAGAGAGACTTAGTAAAATCCCGAAACCCCGTAGTGCATTTTCACTATCGAAATCCTGAACGCCTATCGAGATTTAATCCCTAGAGAAACTAGGTAGAATCCCGAAAGCCCGTAATGTATTTTCGGTAACGAAACCCAGAAAGCCTATCAAGATATATTCCATAGAAAGACAGAGTAAAATTCCGAGACCCCGAAGTGTATTTTCGGTGATAAAACCCCGAAAGCCTATCGAGATATAATCCTTAGAGAAATTTAGTAAAATCTCAAAAACCCGTAGTGCATTTTCGGCAACAAAACCCCGAAAGCCTATCGAGATATAATCCCTAGAGATACTAAGTAAAATCCCGAAGCCCCGAAAGCCTATAGATATATAATCCCTAGAGAGTTTAAGTAAAATCTCAAAAACCCGAAGTGTATTTTCGGTAACGAGACCCTGATAGCCTATCGAGATATGATCCTTAGAAAGACTAAGTAAAATTTTGAAACCCCGAAGAGTATTTTCGGTAACGAAACCCCGGAAGCCCATCGAGTTACTATCCCTAGAGATACTAAGTAAAATATCGAAACCCCGTAGTGCATTTTCGCTATCGAAACCCCGAAAGCCTATCAAGATGTAATCCCTAGAGAGACTAAATAAAATCCCGAAACCTCGTAATGTATTTTTGGTAACGAAACCCCGAAAGCCTATCGACATATAATCCCTAGAGAGACTTAGTAAAATCCTGAATCCCCGAAGTGTATTTTCGGTAACGAAACCCCGAAAGCCTATCGAGATATAATCCCTTGAGAGACTTAGTAAAATCATAAAACTCCGTAGTGCATTTCTGGTGACGAAACCCCGAAAGCCTATTGAGATATAATCCCTAGAAAGGCTGAGTAGAATTTTGGAACCCCCTATTGTGTTTTCTTTAACGAAACCCCGAAACCCAATCGAGATACAATCCCTAGAGAGACTTCGTAAAATCCCGATACCCCATACTGTATTTTCGGTCACGAAACCCCGAAAACCTATTGAGATATAATCTCTAGAGAGATTAAGGAAAATCACGAAACCCCGTAGTGCATTTTCGCTATCGAGATCCCGAAAACCGATCGAGATTTAATCCCTAGAGAGACTAAGTAAAATCTCGAAACCCCGCAGTGTGTTTTCAGTAACGAAACCCCGAAAGCCTATCGACATATAATCCCTAGAGAGATTGAGTAAAATCCCGAAACCCCGAAGTGTATTTTCGGTAACGAAATCCCGAAAGCCTATATAATCCCTAGAGGGACTTAGTAAAATCATAAAACCTCGTAGTGCATTTTCGGTAACGAAACCCCGAAAACCTATCGAGATATACTTCCTAGAGAGGCTAAGTAAAATCCCGAAACCCCGTAGTGTGTTTTCGGTAACGAAACCCCGAAAACCTACAGAGATACAATCCCTAGAGAGACTGAGTAAAATCTCGAAACCCCGTAGCGTATTTTCGGTAACGAAACCCCGAAAGCCTATCGAGATACAATCCCTAGAAAGACTAAGTAAAATCCCGAAACCCCTAGTGCATTTTCACTATCGAAACCCCGAAAGCCTATCGAGATTTAATCCCTAGAGAGACTAAGTAAAATCTTCAAACCTCGTAGTGGATTTTCACTAACGAAACAACGAAAGCCTATCGAGATATTATCCCTAGAGAGACTTCGTAAAATCTCGAAACCCCGTAGTGTATTTTCGGTAACGAAACATCGAAAGCCTATTGAGATATAGACCCTAGAGAGACTAAGTAAAATCCCGAAACACCGAAGTGTATTTTCGGTAACGAAATCCCAAAAGCCTATTGAGACATAATCCTTCGAAAGACGAAGTAAGATTATGAAACCCCGTAGTGTATTTTCTATAACGAAACCCTGAAAGCCTATCGAGATGGAATCCCGAGAGACTCTTAGTAAAATCCCGAAACCCCGTAGTGTATTTTCGGTAACGAAACCCCGAAAGCTTATCGAGATATAATCCCTAGAGAGACTTATTAAAATCCCGAAACCCCGTAGTGTATTTTTCGCTATCGAAACCCTGAAAGCCTATCGAGATTTAATCCCTAGAGAGACTGAGCAAGTTATCGAAGTGTTTACGATGTTCATTATATTTCATTAAATATATAGTATCCATTAATCACTTCTTTTTTCCTCTCTCTCACACTCTCCTCTGTCTTTGTCTGCTGATACTGAGAAGTCAGGTGATGAGAAGGTGAGAAGAAGAAGGTGGACTGAGAGGAGGAAGAAGAAACACTCTCTATCTTTTCATATATACATTCATACATACGTAGTACATACAATGGTAGCGTATATCTCTACGTTGTAGGGGTATATTCATTCGATTTTTATTTTTATTTATTTACTTATTTATTTATTTACTTATTTATTTATTTGTTTGTTTATTTATTTTTTTGCTCCTCTTATTGATGGACACACGGGGATTGGTCGTGAGGAAACAAGACTAACTCGTTCTTTCTCCCGCTCCCGTCGCTGTCTCTGTCTTCGTCGTTGTTATTGTCGTCTTCGGCAACCCGTCGTCGTCCTCTGGCCAGGTGAGCCTTTCCCTCCCACTTTTTTTCTCCTTCTCCTCCTCCTTCTTCTCTTCTCTTCTCTCCTTCTATTTTTCTCTTCTCCTTCTTTCTCACGCGCGACTGCCTTCACCTTTCTCCACTTTCCCCTTCTCTCTCTCTCACGGTTCTCTCCTCCTTACGAGTGGTCTCTCCTAGTCCTCTCGTAGTCCTTCCTTCACCTTTCTGCGCTCTTCACCGACTATCACGCGGCCAATTCCCGATCTCGCCTCAGCGTGATCTCGCGGTGGCTTGTCCTCTCCTTGACGAAGGACCCCCACTCTATAAGCAGATGCATTCACAGTAGAGACTGTCGGACCTCTATCCTTCCTTTGGCTGAATCAGCCCGGATTTTGGGTGTAGGTCCACTAAAGGAATCTGAAAATTGGCAGTTGCGGGAAAAGAGAAACAAAAGGAAACGAATCTACTTCTTAGATAATAATAAAAAAGTAAAATAAAAGTACGAACGAATCTAACTGCTAAACGTAGTATCTCGTTTCAACGAGATAACTACATTATCTAACCTTGCTAAAGAGGTCGCGGGTTCAAGTCCTGGCCGTTCAAACCCCAGGCAAAACGAAAGTAGAGCTCTCTATCAAAAGGGAGCTAGCTCGAAGGGTGGCGGGCCTTGATCCCCGGATCCCCCGTATATCAACCCTGTACGAAAACCTACTGAGCTAGCTCCCACTACGAGTAGAAGGGGAGTAGCTCTAGTATTCATAAAGTAATGTGGCCCAGTCCAACCGATGGCCTGAGCCCACTCTAGCCAGCGCTAGCGTGCACACTTGCTAATCTGTGTGCCTATCTGAATGCCCGCCGCCTTGGGCGCATGTGTGGCCCGCAAGGGCACATATTTTTCATCGGAGGACCCGAAGGGCCGGTAATTAGCCGTGGCCGCGGCATCAAGGGTCGCAGCAGGGTAATTACTTCAAGTGGCGGGTAGGCTGGCACCATACCAAGTAGAAGTAGATGTGGCGGATACTCGACCTAGAGGCTGAGTAGGGGAAGACAATAGACTGAAATTTTTAGAACACCCAGTATCGGAGGGAAGACAGGCACCGGACCAATTCTCAGTGCGTGTTATAGATCTACCTTACACAATCATCAGCCCATCTGACCATTCGACCTCTTCTGTCGAGGGGTATTACTACGGATCCAAATCACCACGGCGTGCGTCATAATAACGCGCGTACATACGAAATTTTCTCACCGATTTTTGCCCCGGGCTTAGTGGCCGAGGAATTTTGCTCCCAGTGTCACGCCAAGCGTGCACACCCCATTTCGTTCCAGACTGGCTACGTCATGGTAACGGACGCCGCCACCGTGCCTAATGCAAATACATGGCAAAATACCCTTGTAAGGTATTTTGTCCGATAGTATCCCAGACCTCATTAAGCGACGTCCCCGTCGCTCGGAGAACTATATGCACATAAAGGTGTTTTCCGATAAGCAATTCGTCAAATCCGAATCCTGAAATGAAATGTGGTTTCAGGATTGATGCCGTCACCTTACTTTTCATTCTTACTGCCGGAATTTTAACCCGGGTCTCCCACATAAAATATAATGACTGAAAGAGGGGATATACTAAATTTGTACTACAGTACACGAAATAGTTTAGTATGACAACGCACTTTTCCTTCCCCCATACCCTTAGTCTTTGGTCCAGGTATTCGTTTGTTATTTTCAGCGCCGGTGTTCGCGTACGAACTCAACCCGTCAAACGCGGGTCCTAACCGAGACCTTGGGTGTTCAACTCTTGATATCACAATCCAAAGTTGTTTGTCGTCCTTCCCGAAGCCTAATACAGGAGGACAACGGTCTCCATCCTGACCGACCACAGTTCTGCTGATCAGACCGCAGCTGCGGCCCATCGCGTTGTTGCTTATCGGTGGTTACCCTCGTTGGTTGCGCAACGAGAGGATATTCATTCTATCTTTAAAATTTTCTAATCTCGACCCTTTCGACATCCACCTGAATAGATCTCTTCATCGGGAAGGCGTCCCCTCTAGTTTCACTTCGAGGCCATAGTCGAAGGGTCCGCTGCCTAGTTATGCTAGGTCAGCAGCCCACGCTGGGAGTTACGTCCCAATGATGCCAATTTTCCACCATAGGCTTGGTAATTTATGCCCCTCAGGTTAACCCTTAGGGTGGATGAACGATGCTTTTTAAAATAAACCAAATAAATAAGATAATAAATTGAGCATTCGTCAAGCTACCACTAAGGGTTGTGTCCTCCAAGTCTTTGATCATAGCTCGGTGCGAGATTGCCAAAGAATTTCTGCAACAGAATTGATAAGACTTAAAGGAGTCTACCATGTCGTAGCACGGTCTCAAACAAGAGTTGTACAATCAATCCAGCTTTTGAAGCTTCACAAACTCATCAAACTTTCACATGAATATAGATCCGCCCATTCCTCTATCACCTCCTTAGATCTCAACAGAGTCTAGTAGTGATAGACGAAGGGAGATCTTAGGTTACCAGAGACTCAACCAAAGACAAAGGCCCACACACAATGTGACAAGTGCGTCGTGTTCTTCAGCTCATCCCCTTGAATAATATATATAAATACAAGTATGTTATAGAGTCAGATCACCACTCCCCTCTACTATCCTTCAAATACTTCTCATGTCATTTCCTATACTACTTCCTATGCTACGTCTCCTCATCTGACTACAGAAAAACACACAACTTGTCTCACTCTTGTTCTCATGTCCAACTTGTTATAATTTACACCTTTCTCCCTCTCATAATTGTTTTTAAATCAATTCAAGTCATAGTTTCCTCGAAACATCTACCTATTCCTACCTAGAAATCAACTGGCAGTTTCAGTATCCTGTGAAGTGCTACCCTGCCTCCCTCAGGTATCCTGGGAATGGTCTGCCCTGTGCCGGCCACCAATCTCTTATGACTATCATATTTGGTTTTTCCTTCCTTGATATAAATTGCTAGAATGGAACACTCATCCCTGAGGTGCCCTTCTTGAGTGCAAAAAAAACACCTTTGTCCAACCATGCTAGGCTTGATTCTCTTTATGTCTGGCTGGGTTGAAGTTTCAGCCTGATCCTCAGCCTCCTTTGGAGAGTCAAACTAGGATTCCCTTTGCCTTTTACCCTGTCCTGGCAGAGGCATAGCCATCTTTCACTCACCTCATTTTCTGGTGCAGGAGGCTCATCTCTCTTCTCCTCAGTCTGTACCCCTTTCTCTTCACCCTTCTTTTTTTCCACCATCTCTGTGGCTTCCTTCTCTTTTTCCTGATGGCTCAGTCTGAGTCCCTCCATTCCTACCAATATCTCACCCCATCTTTTCTCCCACTCTTGTCCCAACTTCTTCCTTTCTGAGATTTCATTGTCTAGGTCCAGTCCTAGCACACTGACCTCAGAGCCCAGACCATCCATCCTTATTTCCATCGTTCCTATCATTGCCGCTTCATTCTCCAATTTTCTATCGCTCATAGTCAGGGCGGTCCTCAACTGGCTCACTTCTTTCTGTAATTCCTCCTTCCCTTTCTTCAATGCCTTCATTTCTTCCTTCATCTCTTCCATATCTCTTATCAATTTTTCCACCTGGCATCCCTCTCATCTTCCTGCTTTCTTATCCCACTTGTCTCTTCCCTTTCTATGTCCCCAATCGGCCATTTTTCCTCAGTCCTCTTGACCTAAGGAGCATTGCCTCCTTCCTGGATCTTCTTCCCTTCTCCAACTTCCTTCACTCCTCCCACTTTTTCATTCCTCCTTTGTTGTACCTCTTCCCTTCCACTCTTCATTGCCCTTTTTTTTCCAAGTTTCTTCTTTCTTGGTACCATACTTGCCCCCATGCTTCTTTTCTTCTCCTCTGCTGCCTCCTCCTCTTCCTGTTCATCTCCCTCAGCCTGCTCACATCCCTTGCTGCTGCTTTTGGGGGAACCCTTGTCTTGTTCTTCAATCTCTTCAGAGGCACGTTATCCTCTTCTTCAGCTTCTGCCTCCTTCCCCTGTGGCTCAATCACCTCTCTTCCAATCCATAGCTCCTTCTCTTGCAGCCTTTGTTTTCTTGTTTGATCTTGCCTGGCCTGAGTGTAGGCTATCCACAACTCTGCTGTTATTCTCTTCCAGGTTCGGCTCCCTTCCACAATTCCTTTAACTTTCTCCCTTTCATTCTCTTCTGATCTTGCGATCAGTTGTTTCTTCCTTTCTTCCTTGTTCCACTCGCCTCTTTCTGCTGCCAACTGCATACTCTCGATAAAGTCCTCCAGATTGGTTCCATCAAACCTTAAGTCATCCTCCACATCGTCCCTTGGGAAAACCCCCATGTCCTTTCATAACCTCTCCTTGCATACTTTCCACCTAATGCACTCTGTCACCACTCCTTCGATTCTCTTTTTGTACATTCCTGCCTCACTCACATTCGCAATCTTCTCTCTGTCACCCCATTCTCTCCTGAACGCGTACTCTTCAAGGTCTCGCAGGAATATTCGCAGGTTGTCTCCAGCCTTGTAAATAGGAAACTCCTTCAGGCTCCTTGAGACTCTCTGATCCCCCCTCTGCCCGCCCTTTCTCAAGGTAGGTCCAGAGGGTCCTGCCACTGCTCCTCTCTGCGCTATGGCCTTTTCTTTTCCAAGGGTCACGCCTGCACACAGAGAAGGAGCCAATGACCATCATCATCAAGGCAACATTCCTTGTCAAACACAAGTTGACAATGCTTCTCCTTATCATGCACTTCATACACGCACATACACATATATACATATATATATATATATCATATATATTTATATATAGATATATATATACATATATATATATACACACATATCCCCACTTATACTCTTTTGCTTCCATATATGTACACATACACACATATATATATATATCGTCACAAACATATATATGTGCATGTATGTATCCATATATGTATGAGCATATTCTTGGGCAATTGGGTACATACCCGCATAGAAACTGATACACATATGCATGCCTAAAATACTTTCCCAATCTATTCAAGCTTTCGCATCGTAGCTGAGCTTACCTCTTCTCTAACTCGGAACTTCTTCAGTCTAGATCTCGAGACTCGGTCCTTCCTTGGAGTCTCATCCATTTCTTCTAGCTCATACGCCCCATGAAGTCCCTGCTTCCTGACTTTGAATGGTCCTAGCCACCGTTTGTCCAATTTCCGCGACCACTGCATTTCCAGAGAGGAATTGTAGAGTAGTACTGTCTCGTTAACTTGTAGAGGTTCGAGTTTTACTCTAGGTAGTTTGTCCCACCTTTCCTTATCCTTTCCCCTGCTGTCTGCAATGTTCATGGCCGCTTTCTGCACCCTTTCTTCAGTGGCGCTGATCTGCCTTGCCCTTAGGTCTAACAGATTCTCCAAAGTCAAGTTGTTCTCCAGGTTCTGCCTGCGCCATGTTTTCAGGAAGCTTTCAATAGGAAATGTGGCGTAACGCCCGTACCAGAGTGTCGCACATGCATACCCGGTCGCTCTCTTTACAGTGATGTTTTCCACAAAGAACACTGTTCTTAGGAACTTTGGTCAGAGGTTCGGCTTCCCACTGGTCCATTTGGCCAACAAGTTAGTGATTGTGCTATGGCCTCTCTCCACCGGTGCATTCGCTTGTGGATGAGCCCGAGTTGTATAGTTACCTATGACCCCCAATTCCTTCAGCAATTCTTTCACCTCCCCACATGTGAACTCAGACCCTCTGTCCATTGTAAACTCCAATACGAAAGGATATCTGAGATAATATTCTTTAATACAATCCGTCAGCGTTGCCCCGAGCTTGTTTCTGATCGCTCTGCCATCAACGAAACCTGTAAGGTTGTCCCTCGCGTCAAATATATAATTATATCCTCCAAGACCTAGCGGCATAGCCAGTAGATCCAGGTGAACAACCGCCCCTATTTCCTTGATATACCTAGGATGCAGAGGTTCCTTGTACCTGATAGGCGATCGAATTTGACAGGGCACACATATTTCACAGTATTTTCGCGTCATCTCAAACATCCCTTCCCAGTCGTAGAGCTTCATCACCTTCTTATAAGTAGTTGCGAAACTCCGATGTCCTCCAACTATCCCATCATGCAACGCAGCTACTACGTCAATCTGGCGATTCCTTCCACACACGACACGTCGTGGCGGCCCCCTCTTATCCCTAATGAACAAGTGGTCACCTCTTACCACATAGTGGTCTCTCATCCTGAGAGTCTTCTCACTCACTTCTCTCTCTTATATCTCCTGAGAGGAGCAACCCCATTTCTAAATAGAACCCATCATACTCCTCTTCCCCGAATTCCTCTGAAATTTCTTCTTGTTCGAACTTTCATTCCTTCTCTTCATCAAACTCGTAATCATCCCCAATAACTATCTCATCGGCCTTCACTATTCCTCTTTCATCATTCGCTTGGACTTGTAATAACGAATTTGTCAGGTAGTACATTTTTCCCATCATGGCTACCTGTTTGTCAGTCTGTTGGACTCCTACGTCGATCGTTCGCGGCTCATCCATTATCCTATAATTCTCTACCAAAGCCAACTCCATCATCCATTTCGTATTTCTCTCGCCCCAAGAGTCCTCCTCCTCTAATGGTGTGAGTATCAGGGAAGGTTCTCTCATAAATTCGGGAGGCGGATGCCACATCGGATTCCCTCTCCTTATTTCCTTACTTTCGACAAACATGAACCAACAGTTCACGTGAGTTCGCATGTCTTCCCCTTCGTCAAAAAACCCGTCTACTGGAGGCGTTTCTTCATTGGATTCTTCCTGATTTCCCCACTTAATTCTGCTCATGCCATCCACCCTGTTTTTGTTCCCAGGGATCCGTTCTAACTGGAAGTCGAACATCCAGATATAGGTGAGTCATCTGGCTATGGTTGGATCTGAGGGCGAGAAACTCTTGAGCGAGTACACAAGTGCAGTAGGATCGATCCTGAGTACAAACCTCCTCCCAAAGAGGTAATGTCTAAAGATCTTTAGGCAATGCAGGAACGCCAAGGCTTCTCTCTTGAACTGCGAGTAATTCCTTTCTGTGTAGTTGAGTGTTCGGCTATCAAACCTCAGCGGCCTCTCCTTTCCTTCACTGTCTGCCTGGATCAGGACGCCTCCCAGGGCGGTTGGTCCAGCGTCAATTTCAACTATGAAGGGCCTTTCCATAGTCGCATCAAAGTCCGGTACCCCTGGTACTAGACCTCCCTCTCTGAACTCCTTCTTCAATTCTTCCACCACTTCCTCTTGATGGTTTCCCCATTCCCATTCCTGATCCTTCCGGACTAGCTTCCTTAGGTGCTCAGTTTTACTAGCAAACCTTTCTATGAATCTTCTCCAGAACCCACAGGTACCAAGGAAGCTTCGAACTTCACCCACATTTCTGAAAGGAGTGGGCCATTCCAGGATTTTATTGGTCTTCTTCTTATCAGGACGCCGACCATGCTCGTTGCAAATGTATCCTAGAATGGATACCTTCTTTATGCAATATCTCGACTTCACTCCACTGGCGGTGAGGKTGTACTCTTCTAGTAGAGATAAGACTTCTCTTAACCCTTGAACATGTTCCCATACACACCTTCTCACCCCTGGAGCCATCTCTGACTCATCCTTCTCAATCGGGCCCTTAACTGCAAGATCATCTATGTACGGCTCGGTGATTTGTGGGTTGATTGGCTGCACAACCCTAATCATGCTCCGTTGCACCATGGCCACAGCATTGGTCCATCCTTGCGGCGCAACATTCATATGAACCAATCTCCTTGGCGTGTGCATTGCCGTGATGGGACGGTCTGCCGGATAGACTGGAGACTGATCATATCCAGAGTAGAGGTCGATGAGGGACACAATCGACCTTCCTGCACAAGCTTCTGACAACTGCTCAACATTGGGCGAACCTCCTGCATCCCTTGCAGTTACCGCGTTCAGTCGTTGGAGGTCTTACACCCATCTGAGAACTTCATTTGGTTTTATAAAGCAGAACTATGGAGACCCGTACAGTCCACTGGAATACCCTGCAACATCCGTACAGATTTTCCCATCTAGGTACTCTACCACCCTTCTGCGATCCTCGGGGTTGGGGTACTTAGCCCCTCGGACATTCCATGGCTCGTGGGGTACAGTATGAATGCGGATCATTTCTATCATGTCCACATCCAGCCTCCCACTTTGATCATCGTTGAAGGCATATGCCCCATGTTTTTCACGTATCAGTTCTTTCACCAAGTCCTCCTCTTGCCTTGTCAGAAAGTCAGGTTTCCTTATTATCAGTTCTTTCTCAGTCTCACCGTCGATACGACAAGGCCCATTCTTGATGCCTTCCCTCATTCGCTGTATCAGTTCTCTTTCCTGATCATAATACACCCCTTCTTCTTGACTCACTAGAACTGGCACAGGGTGACTCTTTTTATCTACCGGCTTGTACCTCCTTTTGAAGCCCTGCTAGATCCCACCCCTAAAAAATGCTGACCGGCAGCTTGAGCATTCGGTGCATGCGGCACTATCATCTGAGAAGAAGGAGACGGTCTGTAAACGAGATCGACCCTTCCCCCTTCCGGATCGTCTTGAATCTTTTCTGCGAGTGCCCTGACTGCGTCAGGATCAGCCATCCTATAGGCCGATACAAGTTTCACCGCGTTACTGATATTGGTCAGGCTTAATACAAGGCCTTTGACTTCTTCATCATCTGACTCATCCTCTCCTTCTTCCCATTTCAGTTCCCTCCTCTTATTCTCTGATTCCTCGAATGTGTATGATCCAACATTGAGCCTATTCTTCGAGCTGTGTGGGCTAGTATTCCTACAGGTGATAACCTCAAAGTTCCCACTGACAGGATCGCACAGGATAACGAACATGGTGCCGTCGTGCTTGTTCATAATGAGTGTTTCGGATCTGCACAGGAACGACCTTCCCAGTAATATTGGAAGGTCCAAGCTGGCCATGACGTAGAAGCACGTACGTACCTTGACTCTTCCTATTTCTATGACCACATTTGATGCGACGCCAGTGTATCCGGTCTTGCCGCTGGCTCCATTGAGAAATCCACAATCATTCTCATCCACCTCCAACCCGAGTTTTACTGCGGTTTCTCCGTTTATAATATTCATCTATGCCCCGATATCAACCATCCCAGGACACATTTTTTCCTTTATCATAACATCAATGGACCCTGTACCTACAAATTTCCAGTCCATTTTGCTCCCTGCGACGCTCCAGTTTGCCTCCTTGGGAATTAAATCCCCCATCTGGACCGAGGCTACTCTCCAACGTGATTACCTAGCCTTCACAATCTCTCTCAACTTAGGAGCCGAAGCGAGGATTTCTTTCAAGTTTAGTAGTTCATTGTGCCATTCCAGCAGTTTATTCACCAGGCCTTCTAGATCCACCCCTTCTTCGATCGAAGTTTGGTACTTTCTCTTCTTGCTTGGTCCCGTATCCCCTTTTGATCTTCCTTCCTTAGCCTCGCCTTTCCTTCTCTTAGCCCTTATCTCCGCCTGCCTTTCTTCTTCCTCCCTAATCTTCTCGTCCTCATCTTCATCGCCCTCTACCGTGATAGGTGGTTCTTCTTCCGCTGGCTAGGAAGCTTGAGCTTGTTCCTTTTGAGGATTCCCTCATGCGGACCTTCTTGTAGCGAATGGAATCGTTCCTCTCATACTTCTCTGACTTCCACTGTTCCTTGCAGCCATATTGGCTCTCAACATTCTCGGGTTGGGTTCATTTGGCCCATCTCCTGATCCCCCGCGCCCCATGGTAAGTACTTTTGGGCATCCAGCCCCTTCTCTTCCCGCTTCTTCACATATCCCTCGAAGCCTCAGATGTAGCCTTTGCATTTTGTCTACCAAATCTTTCATCCTATCGAACGTATCTTTGACGTTAGTCCTAACGTCTTCCTCCTCCGTTTCTTCTTCTACAAGCCGCACGTCTCCTTTGTCTTCTCCAATCCCCATCCTACTCACTTTCTCTTCCAAGTTAGTTATATCTTCCACCTGCACTACTGGTTCTTTCCTTTCCTGCCAAATTCGGAACATCCCCGGTGCGTTGGGACCAAGCGCGGCGAAGAGCCTCTTCCCTTGTGCCCCTTGGAATCTCAGGATCAATCACCCTACCATTTTGGTCGAACATCTCGCCTTCCATGTTTGATGTTATGAGTCCTTCACGCTCGTCAAGCTTCCTAACATGACATCGTTTAACCGTGTGCCTTTTGATCACACAGTGGGTACAGACGCATTCACTATAAACAATCCACCCCCTGCCATATCCTTGTCCGTTCCATTGTCCGTTTCCTCTACCATACCCCCTTCCATAGCTGTGGTCGTATCCACGAGCATACCCTTGCTGGTATTCCTGCCCGACTGGATTTGCACCCCCTTGGGGCTGCCCCCAGTTCCTACCTTGGTTTCCACCTCCTCTGTTACCTGCTCCTCGTTCCCCTGGTCCCTAATTTCTACCACCATTCCTACCTCTTCCACGTCCTTATCCTAGTCCTTGTCCTTGAGACCTGTTCTGGTTTTGGCCACCTTGGCGACTAGATCCCGCTTGGTTCTCCCCTGTTAGTTGAAGTTGTCCCGTGTTTTGTTCTCCTCCCAAATTCTGATTATGGGGTATCATGGGATATGGACCCTGCGCAGGCCATGGCCCTACCAGGAAGTACCCAGGCCATGCTCCCATAGGCGGACCCACGGGCCATTGTCCATATTGTGCTGTGCTGCTTGACGGCTCATGTCCATACTGGACTATCGCTTGTTGAGTTACTTGTCCTTTTCCTAACCCTTGTCCTCCGATAGCGATAGTTTTAGCCTTCCTCTTACACTTGGTCAGTTTGCCCGTACCTTCTGATTCTTCATCTTCTGCCTCTTCCTCCTCATCTTCCTCTTCCTTTCTTCTCTTTCCTGACGGTTGTGTCACTGTTAACACTTTCGATGGTGTCACTCTTTCCCTAAGCTCTTTTATCTCATTTGCCATATTGCTCAGCACTCCTCCTAGTACACTACCCGTTCCTTGGATCGTCCCCACAACCTTTCTTTTATTTCGTTCGATCTTGATTTGGTGATGGAACACTTGGTCCATGTCTCCTGCCACGATGTTTCTTTTTATGGTTTCCCAGGTTGTCTTTCTCCCGGCGGCTCCCCTTCGGATTAGTTCCATCGCCTCATACCCAGAGAACTTCCCTAGGAATATGACGCACTGCATCTCTTCCGACAGTCCCGGGACCCTCTCGGCTGTCTTTTCGAACGTGTTGGCGAATGCCCTGATCGTGGTAAAGTCATCTCTGTTCATATTATAGAGATAGTCAATTGTGAGCATACCATCTCCCAGCTTAAACGTCTTTTGCATACCCCTTTTAAACTCTGCCCAATCATTGTTCGATTTTCTCACTACCTCTTCCACGTCAGAGGTGCATTCCCATCATACATACTCGAACAACTGAGCGAACTTCTCGGCCGGTGTCAATTGGTTGAAGATTTGCTCAAGCAGTTCTAACCAATGAATGACCCTATCCCCTTTGAAAGGGAATATGTCTATCCTCGGTAGGTTAGATCTCTTTATCGTTCTTTTCTCTAGTAACTTGACGATTTCTGCCGCGGTGATCGGCGACCTTTCGTTGGCGCTGGCATCGCCCATCTTTTGCCCTTTTTCTTTCGTGGTTCCTGCTAGACCGTAGTCCCTGTTAAGACACACAAAACGATCATTGATCCAACCTCTTTGTCACTATCTTGACGTAACTCTTTACGCTATATGACTTTTCATACCTCTTTTCTCTCAACCGAGTATCTCTTCTAGGAGCAACCAGTCCCCATTCCAAAAGCTTCTAACCATACCAAATAAAAAAGAGATCTAATCTATAAATTTTTCGATACATGCTTCCCGACAAAGATTGCGTCAGTAGGTCGAGAGATCTTTCAAACGGTAGATGCATTAATACGTGTTTACCACGCATAGTACGTTATAAAAATCCCTATTCTTTAGTTTCGGTCCCATCTCTAAGTATAGACGGTAAACAACTTCCGATGCCTCGAATTCGAAGCCCGGCTCGATAACAGATCGGGCTGCGAGTACTGCCCGTTCTACATTCTCAATCTCCCAAAATGCTTCATCAATTATGAAGCTCGGAAGCGTGGCTTTAGTGTACCTTGTTGGATACATGAATTGAGCGGCCCACTTTGCTTCGATTGATTTTATAACTTCTCCTTCTTCTCCCCAATACATTCTCCTTGAAAATGCGTCAAGGGTCAATTTGGCTATCAATACGTACTTAGAGATGGGGCGGCTTTCCCCTATCGCAAAATCAATCGCGTTTGCTCTCGAGAGAAGGGTCGGTAAATAAAGTGTCACTTTTACTACTGCCTGCCTTTCCCTCGTGGTCCACCCGGTTTCTATCCAAAGGAAGGCTTCTTGTCCTATCCGTATCCCGCACCATGAATCCATTTCCTCATCCATATCTATTGTCCTCTTCGGCAGTGTCATTTTGACTCCTCCTTCCTTTGGCTCTGGCAGGTTGATCAGGAAGCTCCGATCAGCGAACCACATTAAAGGAGGCATACTGGTATAACTGTTACAACAGCGAAAGAAATGACCTTTCTCTTCTTAGTAACTGCTCAATTTTTCCATTTCTTAACAATTTTCTATCTTAGTCTCCCTTGAGCACCCCTTCCTATTTGATCGAGGATCCTTTGCTTCAGTTCCTCCCAGTAGACATGTCTATTTCCCCAATCGTGCTGACGTGCATATGAGTCGACCCTTGATAGTACGTCTTGAGGATCCCTTCCTTTAATCAAGTGCCCTATCTCTAGGTATATGTAGTATACCAGCAGAGGGGTAGATGCGTGATATTCTCTCTCAGGTATTGCCATGGCGGCTTCTGCAACCCTTTCCGCTCGGGTCCTCCCTCCGAAGGTTGCATCTACGATGAACATAGGTTGGGTCCTCCTTAGATATGCTGCTGGCGGAAGAAAATCGTTAGCCTTTCTTACCCTCACAGTTCCTATCATTCCTTCAAACCCATTCAAACTTGCATCTCTTCTCCTAGACTCGAGCGAGGATTCTGCTGTCCACAATAGTCTGGAAAGAGATCGATCAGTTCCTAAGGCTAAATTTATTATGATAGTTTGCAATTTCTCCGAAGAAATATACAAGGTAACCCTTTCTACTGCGCGATTTTCGCTTCTAACCCATCCGGACTCGATCCAAATGAAAGTTTGCTCCTCTACAATATTCCCCCAACAATACCCCGTCTCTTCGTTCTCCTCATGACGACTTGGCAGATACATCATCAGGTCACGCCTCATTTGTACGGGCTCTCTGATCGTGATTTAATATCGGGCAGAAACCATCTTTTCCTCGTCGGCACAATCCACCTACTACACAACACAATCCAGCCCACATCTCTTTTATTTTAGCTAGTAGACTTATAATTCCAAGATCTGACTAGTTTCTCTTTCTATCCTATTATCTCCTTTGATCCTTTTGAACCTTTATATAATTTTTTTGTACATCAAGTATGTTATTAACTCACAGATCTCTATTTGACATAGTAGTAACATTAAAAGCGATATGCACATCCTCCTATCAGGAAACGCAGACTGCGCAACTACAGGAGGATCAGGCACGCTTGGTGCCCCGCGGGGCCCCTGTTGGTGAGGCGGGGAAAGGATAGCCAACTGCCGTTCTTGAGATAGTGGATAAGGGCCAGGATGCGAGCGACTAGGCGTCCCGAAGCGTGGTGGAGATTCTCCATAACGCCTTACATACCTATATGAATAATAAGCCATCTCGTCAGGGTTTGGGGTATGCATGCGCCTCTCCTCCCTATACCTTCTTGCCCTCAATCCTTCATCTTTCTCCTCATCATCTTCATTCCATTCTCCCCTTTCTCTGGTCAAGTCCACAGGCCTTTCAGGTGCCTTTCCTTGTCTATCGCCTCTTCCTCTACCAGTTCCGGTACTACGGCCCTTAGGTGTACCGACCTGTTATCCAGAGATAACAAAATTGTTGTTCTTACGGATTCCCCCGTAAGTTCACCGAAGTGTCGAAACCTGTAGACACAACACAGTCCAAGAGAAACTTAATATCTCTCTTCCTAACTGAGATCTAGAAAGTTTTCTTCTAGACTCTGTGTTTTTCGTCTGACACTTATCCTTAATTAATCGTTTGGACTGTTATCCTTCCGCTTCAGGTAGTGAATAATAGTTCACCCCTTTTACTGTCACATGAATTCTCAATATCTCTTTCATTATCTCATTCTTATCCCTTTTCTCGATTATCCTGTCTGAGTTCCCTTCCTTCTTCCAACACACATGAACGCATCATCAATCCAACTTGTGGAAAAAATCTCATGGAAAGAAATCAGACAAATGAATAGTTTCTATCTGAGGTAAGATCTCACTTATCCCCTCTGAGTAGAATCAGAGATAGTTAGTTAGGACTGAACAATGCAGATTGTGGAGAAAGTTAGAGGTGGTATGGCAGACCATTCAGGATATATCCACTTGTTACTGAAATTTGTTTGACAAAGGCAAATCTTGTGGGACTTGGCCCTTGTGAGACAAAACACACTTAGCGGTAGGTTTATCCTCTGGCTAGTCACTGATAAGGCAGGTGTCCTTGAAACCTCGCTACTTCTTATATTGGATTAGTCATTGATAAAACAAGATTCCCCTGCTACTCTTATCACTGACTAGCCATCAATAAGGCGGGTGCCCAAGGATCCTTACTACTCTTATCACTGACTGAGCCCTAGGATGTTTATTGATAAGGCAGCTGTCCTTGAAACCTCACAACTCTTATATCGGACTAGTCATTGATAAGACAGGATTCCCCTGCTACTCTTATCACTGGCTAGCCCTCAATAAGGCAGGTGTCCAAGGGTCTTTGCTTACTCTTACCATTGAAAAGAATGTTAGGTTTGATCAATGATAAGGCAGGTGTCTTTGAAACCTCACAACTCTTATATCAGACTATTCACT